TCTCTGGCTAGGACTTCCAGTATTATATTGAAAAGCAGTGGTGAGAGTGCACATCCTTGTCTTGTTCCAGATCTTAATGGAAATGCTTTCAGCTTTTTGCCATTGAGAATGATACTGGATGTTGGCTTGTCATATATGGCCTTTATGATGTTGAGATATGTTCCTTGTATCCCAAGAATTTCAAGGGCTTTTATCATGAATGGGTGTTGCACGTTGTTGAAAGCTTTCTCAGCATCTATTGATATTATCATATGGTTTTTATATTTCTTTTTGTTGATGTGTTGGATAATGTTGATTGATTTTCGGATATTGAACCATCCTTGTGTCCTTGGCATGAATCCTACTTGGTCGTGGTGAATTATCTTATGGATACATTGTTGGATTCTGATAGCTAAAATTTTATTGAGGATTTTTGTATCAGTGTTCATTAGGGAGATTGGCCTGTAGTTTTCCTTTTTTGTGTTGTCCTTGTTTGGTTTTGGTATTAGTGTAATGTTGGCTTCATAGAACGTGTTTGGTATTGTCCCTTCCTTCTCAATTTTTTGGAAGAGTTTGTGAAGGATAGGCACTAATTCGTCTCTGAATGTTTGGTAGAATTCATTTGTAAATCCATCAGGTCCTGGGCTTTTGTTTTTGGGGAGGTTTTTGATTACCATTTCAATTTCACTGCTTGTAATTGGTTGGTTTAGGTGTTCTATTTCTTCTTTATCTAGCTTTGGGTGATTGTAGAGTTGTAGGAATTTGTCCATCTCCTCTAGATTGTTGAACTTGTTTCCATATAATTGTTCATAGTAGTTACTGATTATTCTTTTGATTTCTGCTGTGTCCGTTGTGATTTCTCCTCTTTCATTGATGATCCTGTTTATTTGTGCTTTCTCCCTTTTTTCCTTTGTGAGCCTGGCTAGGGGTTTGTCTGTTTTATTGATTTTTTCGAAGAACCAGCTCTTGGTTTCATTGATCTTCTGGATTGTTTTTTTTAGTTTCAATTTCATTTCTTTCTGCTTTGGTTTTTATTATTTCTTTTCTTCTACTGGTTTTGGGTTTTTTTTGTTGTTCTTTTTCTAGATCTTTGAGCTTCGAGATTAGGTTGTTTCTTTGAGTTCTTTCTTATTTCTTGATGTGAGCCTCTATTGCTATATATTTTCCTCTTATTACTGCTTTTGCTGCATCCCATACATTTAGGAAATTGGTGTCCTCATTGTCATTCAATTCAAAGAATTTTTTAATTTCTTCTTTGATCTCCTCATTAGTCCAGTGGTCTTCCAGTAGTGTGGTTTTCAATCTCAATGGGGTAGGAGAGTTCCTTGCCTTCTTTTTATGGTTTATTTCTAGTTTGATTCCTTCATGGTCAGAAAAGATGGTTGGTATGATTTCAATCTTGGTGTATCTGTTGATGTTTGTCTTGTGTCCCAGTATGTGATTGATCCTGGAGAAGGATCTGTGTGCACTTGAGAAAAATGTGTATTCCGTTTTTTTTGGGTTTAGTGTTCTATAGATGTCTGTTAAGCCCAAGCGCTCTAGGTCTTTATTTAGAGCTTTGGTGTCTTTACTTATTTTTTGTCTTGTTGATCTATCCATTGTTGATAGTGGTGTGTTGAAGTCTCCCACTACGTATGTGTTTTCTCTGATGTCTGTTTTCAGAGAGGACAATAGTTGTCTGATATATTTTGGTGCTCCTTCGTTTGGTGAATATATGTTAATGAGTGTTATTTCTTCTTGAAGTATTGTCCCCTTGATCATAATGTCGTGACTGTTGGGGTCTCTTTTTATCTTTTTGAGCTTGAAATCTGTTTTATCTGATATAAATGTAGCTGTTCCTGCTTTCTTTTTTGGTCCATTTGCTTGTAGGATTGTTTTCTATCCTTTAACTTTGAGTCTGTTTTTATCTTTTGTAGCTAAATGTGTTTCCTGCAGACAGCAAAAGGTTGGGTTTTGTTTCTTAATCCAGCCTTCAACTCTGTGTCTTTTTATTGAAGAGTTTAGTCCATTTACATTTAGAGTTAATATTGATATGTTAGCATCTGTATTTGCCATTGTGTTTGTCTTTCCTTTGATTTTATTTATTTATTCTTTTAATAACTTTTTTTTTTTGGCCTTCTTTCGTTGTTATTCGTCCCTCTGAGGTTCTGGCTTTAGGACTCCTTGTAGTATTTTTTGGAGTGGGGGTTTAGTTGTAATGAAATTCCAGAGTTTCTCTTTGTCTGGGAAGGTCCTTATTCTTTCTTCATAGAGGAAGGAGAGCTTTGCGGGATAGAGTATTCTTGGTTGGCCTCTGTTTTCTTGGAGTCCGTTGACTATGTCCCTCCACTCTCTCCTTGCCCGTAGTGTTTCTTCGGAGAAGTCTGATGTCAGCCTGATTGGTTTTCCTTTGAATGTTATCTGTTTCTTCCCTCTTGTCAGCTTCATTAATTTTTCCTTGTCCTGGATTCTTGGGAGCTTTACTATTATGTGTCTTGCTGTATTTTTCCTTTCGTCGTGGATGTTTGGTGTTCTTCTTGCTTCTTGTATATCAATTTTCAGCTCCTTCTTCACATTTGGGAAGTTTTCTTCAATTATCTCCTTGAATATTTTCTCTGTTCCTACATCTCTCTCCTTTCCTTCTGGGATTCCTATAACTCTTATATTTCCTTTCCTCATGGAGTCAGATAGTTCCCGAAGTCTTTCTTTGGTCTTTTTCCTTCTTACTTCTCTTTCCTTTTCTGTTTTGGTTCTTTTTATTTCTGTGTCTTCAAGAGAACTTATTCGTTTTTCTATTTCATCTATTCTGCTTTCATTGCTTTTCTCAGAGTTCTTTAGTGCCTCCATTAATTCTTTGATCTCCTGCATTTCTTTTACTTCCCTCTTTAGGGACTCAATTTCATTCTTCTGGTCGTTGATTATTTTTCCCTTATCATTGTTTTCCTTTATGACTTCTGTCAGTTTTTTAATCATGGCAATTTTAAATTCTCTTTCTGGAAGGCTCAGAAGTTCTTCCAAGTTACTGTCGATGCAATCTGGGGGGTGGTTTTCTTTTTGTGGTGTGCTTTTTTCCTGAGGAGTTGCTAGGTTGCGTGTGGTTCTTCTACTCCCTACTGTCTGTTTTCTAATTTGCTGCATGCATTGGGACACTGTGTTGTTGGGACTGGCCGGCATCTTGGGTGAACTTCTGCACTCCCCTCTGGCTCCTCCAGGAGCCATCTGTCGGTTTCAAGCAGTCTTTACTGAAGAAAGGTCTCCTGTTCTAAAATGCTGATGCGGGGACACACTACCCTGTGCACCTGGTCTGCCCTGGTGTTGGGTTCCCGCACCCCCTCTGGGCTCGGACTGCAGGCCTGAAGGGGCCTGGCGTGGGCGAACTTCCCAGCTCACCTCTGGCTCCTCCAGGAGCCTTCTGCTGCTTTCAGGCAGTCTTTACTGGAGAAAGGTCCCTGTTCTAAAATGGCTATGCGGGACACACTCCCTGCGTGCCCGGTCTACCCCGGCGGTGGGTTCCTGCTCTCCCTCTGGGCTGGGACTGGAGGCCAGAAAGGGCCTGGCGTGGGAGAACTTCCCAGCTCACCTCTGGTTCCTCCGGGAGCCTTCTGCTGGTTTCAGGCAGTCTTTACTGAATAAATGTCCCTATCTAAAATGGTGATGCGGGACACACTCCCTGCGCGCCCGGTGTCAGGCACACTCTTCTGCGTGCCCAGTTTGCCCTGGCCGTGGGTACCCGCTCCTCCTCTGGGCTCAGACTGCTGGTCAGAAGGGGCCTAGCGTGGGCAAGCTTCCCAGCTCACCACTGGCTCCTCCCCGAGCCTTCTGCTGGTTTCAAGCAGTCTTTACTGAAGAAAGGTACCTGTTCTATGGGATGTTGGTGATTTTTTTTTCTGGTCACTAGGTGGCGCCAGAGATCTCTCCTAGTGTCTTTGGGGAGCTGTTTTTTTCACCCCGTGGGACGGGGAACAGAGTGGGGGTGGTGGGGAAAGCCTCAATGGCTTTGGGGTGCTGTGTCTATCTTGTTCCTCACCGTCGTGGGGAACCCATGCCCCGAATTTCGTGCCCCAGGTCTCAGTTCCAAAGCCCTCAGGTCCAGGACGCAGGCTGTAGCCCAGTTCAGTGTCCGCAGAATTGGCACCTTTTGCACCCCGCTCCTGTGTCCAGGCGCCTGGTTTCTGATTACTCAGTGAGGGACATTCACCTCAGTGAGGGCCCCCGCTCGTCTCCCCGCAAGCCTAGGTTGCAGGCATGGGGACCTGGGCAGCCGCGATCCGTGTTTGCTTTTCAAGTGCGCTGCTTTCCTGCACAAGCTTACCGGCTGGCCTGGGGCTGTTTGTAGGTCTCCGGGTGTCTTTGTTTCCAACTTCAGTCTTTTGCACGGATATCTACCTTCCTCAACACCATTTGTTGAGAAGACTGATCTTTCCTCGTTGAATGGTCTTGGTACTCCTGTTGAAATTAATTGACCATAGTTGTCTGAATTTATTTCTGTACTCAGTTCTATTTCTTTGGTCTGTATGTCTGTCTGTCTTTAGGTCAGTACCACATTGTTTTGATTATGGTAGCTTTGGATTAAATTTTGAAATGGGGGAGATGATTCTTCCAACTTAGTCTTTTTTCAAGATTGTTTTGGTTATTTGTGGGTCCTTGCCATTCCATATTAATTTCCATTTCTGCAGTTCTCTGTTCTTCATTGCTCTGTAAAATTTTATTAACATACTGGTTGGTCCATATAATTTCGTTTTGAGTATAGTCTGTTGATGGAGAATGGATAAGCACATGTATTCTCTTGTTAAATCTGTTTTATCTTTATCAATAACTTGGGACTTCTGATACTGTTTTTATCAAGCTCCATCTTGAATGAATTTATTCTTTTGTTGCTAAGGAGTTGGTGATTTTTGGGCCACCAATTTTATGTTCTAGCTTTAGAAAATGCTGTGTTTTCAAGGTATAATATTTTTTATTTAAGATTTGTACATGTTTTATAAAGAAAAATCATACACTTTGGAACTATTTTGCAAATAATTTGTCCTCTTTCTTTGCAGGTGCCCTTTCTATCTCCTTTGGAAGGTCATATTTATTTAAAAATTAAGTGTCAAGTGAATTCAAGTGTTGAAGAAAGAGGTTTTCTAGTAAGTAGCATCATTTCATCTGTGTATTCTTTTTTCCAGTTTTGTAAAGTATAGATTTGGTTTCCCAAAAGCCTAGAAGTCTGTGTGCTTAATTGGTTGAGTAAAGATTTGCTCTATGTCCAGTTGTTGTGCTGGTGTTGGCATATAATAAATCACAAAAAATATTCCCTCAGTAACTTTTAGTTTAGTTGGAATGTAAGTACACAGGCAATTACAATACAGCACTACAATAGGAGAGAACAGATAGTGCTTAGGTATAAATTGGTGGGATATCATGAAGACTTAAATTAAACTACAGAAAGGAACTTATAAACTGCTAACTGAATAGTTTTGGGGGTGCAGGAAGAGGAGTGAGAACTACTTCTATAAAGGAAGAACGTGTACAGTGACCTAGAGGGGCCTTCTTTCTCTCATTCCAGAGTGAAAAAGAATGGCACAGATAGTGGCTAGTACGCAGGATAGCTCTAGCTTAGAGTTTGATTTTGTGTATGGAGGAGGGATGGTTAGCAGAATGATTGGGGAGGAAAGTGTGGTTAGAGGAAATGGTGCCAACTGTTAAAAAGTTTAAAGAATTTATACTTTATCTTGAAGCCAGTGGGGTACTCTTGTAGTTTTAAGCAGAGGAATAACACCAAATTTGGGATTTAGGAAAGTCATTCTGACTGACATGTGTAAAGTGGACTGGACAGTGGCAACCCTGAATTAGACTGTTAGGAGACTGACTTTCTCCATGAGAGAGGTAAGTGGGATAGACAGGACAGAGAGAAACACCCATTGTGGAGAAATTCAGCTTTAGGCGGCAGAAATGTAGAACTCAGGAGGTCGCCCAGACCCCTGCCTTGTGTGGCAACTATATCCCTTAGAGGACTTTGGGGGAAAAGCAATTGTGCATATTTGGGGTGAAAAGTTTGCATGTTTGGGGTAGACATTTCCCCCTGAATTTTAATGGAAAATTATAAATATACAGTGATGTTGATAGAATTTTATAGTGAACTTCTAATATAACCACCATCTAGACTTTACCCCTAATATTTTCTTCTATTCTAGCTTTAGCTAGAATAGCTGCATATAGCTTTATTTATCTAGCTTTAGATAGAATACATGTATATAGAATACAAAAGATTATGTATGTGTATATGCAAAAGTAGAGACTGGTTTTGGCTTTGTGAAGCAAGAATTTAAACAACATAAAGATATCACAAGTCAGATTGCAATCGATGTCAGGGGTGCAAAAAGAAGAGCTAGACTGTTTGGAAAGCCCTCTGGGCCAAGGTGACTATAAATCATACTTGCTTAGTTTTTTTTAATTTGTAAATCCAGCAGGTGGCACTAGATTTTCTTGGAAAAGTGTTTTTATAAATTTCTGTCCTAAAGGCAGTGTTTACATACTGACCTTTTAATGTTCATCTTTTCATAAGTTCCTGTAGACATCTTTAGCAGCTGTAGACTCTGTATGGCAGCTAGTTCATTTGTATATGTCTGACCTATTTTGAGCTGGACTGTTGGTTTGGAGTTAGATCTCTTTTTTTAATCTTGATTCCAGTAACACATTCATATCACATTTACACTTAAATTAAGTAAGAAATTGCTCAGGATTTTCAATATATGTCCCCTATCTAAACAATGCCTTTTAATTACTTCTCTACCCTTTATAAAAATAGATAGTAATTGACATTAAAGTTGTTGAGTTCTTTTTTCTTTCCTGATATTTCAAAGTCAGCTGAAAGGAAGCAAAGTAAGAACGAAAGAAATTAAGTGGTTCTAAAATTGCACTAGTCTACCTCTGCCTAGACTGATAAGCAGCAGAACCAGCATGTTCTGGATTGGCAGCTAGAAGGTTCCAGTTTTGCTTTGTGATCATGTGTTGTTATTTTTTAAATTTCATTGGCTCTTACTTTCCTCAGCTATAGAAATGAAAACAGTCTTTTTCTTATTTCTCTGATTATAATAGTTTTCATAATAGTTTTTGTTACTCTTATTCATTAAGTTTTCCCTTGCTATTACTTTCATCATGTCAAAAGTGGACAGAAACACACAAGGGAGCTGTTGAGTCTTTGTATTAACTTTATACTTGAGATTGAAATAAAATTCTTTTTTCCTTGGGTGGCTATAAGCAGTGTTGTCTAGAAAAAGTATGCCTTGGCAAGGATGGATACAGGTTAGACTAGAACAGAAAATAAATGTTTGGAGCAAGCTAATTAATTTGAGCTACTTAATTAAGCTAATAAATTTGAGGTTTTACTGTATAATGGAAATATTTTTTCCCTCTCTCCCTCCTTCCTCCCTCCCTCCCTCCCTCCCTCCCTCCCTCCCTCCCTCTCTCCTTCCTTCCTTCCTTCCTTCCTTCGCCAGAGCTATGGAGGGTGAGAGGATTCACCAGAACTAGAGACAGAGTGGGGAGCAGAACGGGCAGGAAAGGGGCACCCCCAGAACCTGCCTGCTCTAAATAGGTTCTGTTATCTCCCACATCAGGACAAAACATGTAAGACCTTTAATGGAAAGGAACTTTAATACAATTAGCGTGCAATACAGAAAAGACACAAAATATAGTTTTTAAATCAGGCACCCAAAGTTACCCATCCTCACATGGGTAAATGTCCAGCCAAACAGGATTGGCTCAGAGCAAGGCCTGAAAGCCTGCCACAAATCTAAAGCACCTTCCAGTGGGGACCCATAGAAAAGGATCAAAAGCAGTCAAACAAGTCTGGGAGGAAAAGATCAAAATCAAAATAAAAGGTGCCATTGTTAACTTCCCCGTGGGTCTCTCACCCACTTCTGTTTCAGCTAGTTCAAGAAACAAGCAGTTTCTTAACATGTCTCTCTGCTCCTTGTGCCTTCTTCAGGTCACCTTCTGGTTCTCCATCCTGCTTCCTTCCTCCTTCAGTCTCCTCTCTAGCTTTCTCTCCTCCCTGCTCAGCTCCACCCTCCTTTGGATGGGGCAGGGAACCTGGAACCTCCCCTTTTCCTGGGGACCACCTTGTTACAGATTTACTGAAATACACTGCCAAGGGAAGCAATGGGCGAGACAGAAGAGGTCTGCTGCACCCTATGTTAACTCCCTGGCCAGGGATCCAACTCAGGTCATAGTGGTGCTATCCCTGAGACTTAACTCCTGGACCACCAGGGAGGACCTATTATGGAAGCATTTCTTCCCACAAAGTAACTTTCTTTCATGGCCAGAGGTTGCATTCTTAACTCAAACTGCCTTTTAGTAAATTCACCCAAATTAGCAAATTGAGAAGAGTATCTATCCTGCTATCATAGGCTTGGTGTAAGGCTCACTGAGCAATTTGATGTGGAAAAGCACTGATGCTTTCTGAATCAAAAACAAAGATGCCTTTAGGTTATCTGTATAAGGCGTCAGCAAAGTATGGCTCAGTGCTTGTTTTTATAAAGTTTTGTTGCATCATGGGTTCATCTTGGGTTCATTTGTTTACTATTGCCTGGCTACTTTTGTTACAACAGCAAGGTTGAGTAATTATAACAAAACCTCTTCTAACAAAGTTTATAGAAAGTTTGGAGCCCCTGATCAATAGCAGTGTTACATTTTTACCTTGCTTTGTTCATTAACATAACAGTTTCTAAAGGAATACCTTTTTTTTTCCCATTTAAAAATAAGGACTTTTATGAATATTAGGGCTCAATTATGGCTGCAACTGAAAAATCGTCTTCCAGGGAAGAAGCAACTTCTACTGTTTAAGTAGAAGTTGTTCCATGGAAAAAAATCATATTATTAGTTAACCTCATCCAAAGTCCAGTCCTTAACCAACACTACTGCTTCACCTGACTTTAGAATGTAATTAGTATTCCTAAAGCATGAACTGGCCAACTGCCTGGCTATAGGAAGGTTATGCTATTTCCAGGTATGCTTGATGGCTCAGCAGTGACCCATCAAAGTACATAATGTGAGCTGACTTTTGTCTGTTTTGTTCTTGTGAATAAAAAATTAATGCCTGTTTTCCACGTTAAAGATAAGTCTCACTTAAGCTATCATTATTTTTTTCAATATATAACTTATGATATTCTCATTTTACTTTCCAACACTTGGACCACTTTTATTTTAGGAACATTTGATGACTAAGGATACCATACTTTAAAAAAGCCTAAAATTAGATATTTATTTTATATAGCATTGTATCTGCCTTAAACATTTTCATGGTATCAGAAATCTGTAAGTTTCTGGATGTGAGCAATCAGTGATTTTTATTACTAAGGCAAAAGAAAATTATTAACATCATGCAAGTAGATTTGAAGCTATGAAATATGTCAACATGTTGATATTTAACATATGTAATTCAAATTTAATTGATCCTCAAAATTCTAAAGTCAGTATTTGACTTTTTCAGACCATATTTGAAGATGTTAGTGGCTTTGGTGCCTGGCATCGAAGATGGTGTGTTCTTTCTGGAAACTGTATCTCTTATTGGACTTATCCAGATGATGAAAAACGAAAGGTAATGATAATATTACTGGCCAGTGGTGAAAGCTCTGATTGACTTTCATGGAATGTTTCATTCTTTGTAGATCTTGCATATTAGTCCTTTGTCAGATGTATGGTGTACCAATATTTTCTCCCATTCCATAAGGTGTTTTAGCAATATTTCTTTCCCTGTGTAGAAGCTTTTTACTTTGATGTAGTCCTGATTATGTTCTTTTTTGTTTCTCTTGCTGTTGGAGAGAAATCCACAAAGACATCTCCGAAACCTATGATGTGAAAAGTTTTGCCTATGCTACTAGCATTTGGGGAGTTATGCAATGGAAGGACTTTCAGAAAATTTCGTTGGCCATATTTTCTGGAAACATAATGTGATTTGCTGGAATATTCCTCTTTTACTGTCATTTAATTTATACCATATTTTTTGCTGTTAAGGAAAAAACAATGACTTCACCTATATAAACATCTTCGTGCACTTACATATTTGCTTAGGGTCCATTTCTTTTAGGCAGAATTGTAGGACCATAGTGTACTCATTTTGATTTTTTGTTGTTGTTGTTGTCATCAAATTGCTTACCAGTAGTAGATCATTTTATGCATTCACCATCACTGTGTAAGAGTTTCTGTTACTCATCCCCCAACCAATCAACAGAGATTGTCATTGTTCTTTCCAGATTTAGCCAAACTAGTGTTGTAAAATGATATCTTTCATTTTATTTATTTTTAATTACTTTATTTTCTTACATCATTGCTCATTTTTGTACTATAATTGGTTTCTCCACTCAGTTGTAGTCCCCGTAATTCTCCCACAACCATATTACCCATGAACCATCATCTTAGTCCCTTATGCACTTCCCTCCTCTATGGGATCTTTCATTTCAATTGCTTTTAAAAATTACTGACAGAATAGGCACTTTTATTGACTATTTCTTAATGGATTGTGCCTATACATGTCCCTTTCCCCCCATTTTCAGGACTGTTTGGTCTCATGAATTTTCTCTTTGACTCTCATGTCTTAGGAATGACATGACTTCCAAAGCAATTGTTTATCTTTCAGAGATGCGTGAGTATTTACAGATGAAATAAGATGTCTAGATTTCTGTTTATAGAAAGGAAAGAAGGAGACTGTAGATAAGTAGTAGTTGAATATGTGTTTCTAATTTTAGCTGGTACATGGAGGTTCATTGTGCTATTCTTTTTGTTTTACATCTGTTTGACACTTTTTTCATATATATAATTTATTTTTTTATATTTTATATCATTGCATAAAATTCCCATCACCATTTCATCCGTGAACCATCACCATAGTCCCTAGTGATCTTCTCTCCCCTGTTTTGATCCCTTTTTCTCCTCCTACCTTGCAGAATGTTTCTATCAGAGTTTATTTTTTATATTGGCTAACAACTCCACTTGACATTTTTGGTTTCTATTTTTATGTTCAGTAGTAAACAATAATAAATAATTTGAATATGCTTCTCCAAAACTCATTGTAATTAAACTTTAACTTTTAAATGAACACTTTTGAATTTTCAGCTTTTAGCAGTGTATATATTGCTTAATGCTTACTTAAATGATCTTGTTTCTTTCTACTAATAAATCTTTTTAAAATTTTTTTTAAAGAATCCCATAGGAAGGATCAATCTTGCCAATTGTATCAGTCGTCAGATAGACCCAGCTAACAGAGAATTTTGTGCAAGACGCAACACTTTTGAATTAATCACTGTCCGACCACAAAGAGAAGATGATCGAGAAACACTTGTTAGCCAGTGCAAGGACACACTGTGTGTCACTAAGTATGTATTGAGCTATAAATATTTCTGTCACTTAAGTAATTGCCTACTATGTTCTTGTCACTGTTAGGAATATGATCCATATCTTTGAAAATCATACAGTCTTAATGAGAAAACAAAACATAGAGAATTATTTCTAATAACTAAATTACATAGATAAAAATATAATTTATATCAAGTTATGTATTAGCTAATTATATCTCCAACATATTTACAGGGTAGCCTTTTTTTTTAAAGATTTATTTATTTATTTATTATACAATCACTGGGTACAGTCAGAAGTGCGGGAGGGTGAGAGAATTCACCAGAGCCAGAGCGGGGAGCAGAACAGGTGGACTGACGAAGTACACTGCTGAGGGGAGCAGCGGGCGTGGCAGGAGAGGTCTGTTGCGCCATGTGGGACCCTCGCTGGTGGCTGGGGATTGAACTGGCGCTGCAGAGGCTGCGGGCAGCTTCGCAGCCCAGCGCTCAACCCCTGTGCCACCAGGGGAGGCCCCTACAGTGTAGCCTTTTTAAAAAAGATTTGTTTTTTGTTTGTTTATGCATACAGGAACTGGGGTGTAGGCCAGAGGTGTGGGGCTGAGGGACTAGTAAGAGGATTCCCCAGAGACATTGGGGAGCAGAATAGGCAGATCTACTGAAATACACTGCTGAGGGGAGTAGCAGGAGAGACAGAGAGGTCTGCTGTGCCATGTGGGTTAATTACCTGGCCAGGGATTGAACTCATGCTGCAGTGGCTGGCGATAGCTTGATAGTGCTGAGACTTTAACCCCCATGGCACTAGGGAAGCCCACAGTGTAGGCTTTTTTAAGGTAGTTAGTAAACTGGGTTAAATTTGAAGATTTCATTAGAAATTTAGAAGCCAAGCATTATTCAAAGAAATTTTACATATGCCTTCCTTTCATTCCAAAATACCTTTAACTAGTCAGGTTACTTGTAATTAAACTTTAACTCTGTAATTAAACTTTTACTCTGAAGATTTCTGGTTGGAGATTAACAGAATGAACTTCTGGAAGTGTCACTTTTTTGTTAATCCTAAACTTGAGTATAAGGGCCTCCCTGGTAGGGCAGGCGGTTGAGTGCGGTGCTGTGAAGCTATCCGCAGCCTCTGCAGTCCGGGTTCGATCCCAACTGGCCGGGGAGATGAAGCGGCAGACCTCTCCTGTCTCATTTGCTGCTCCCCTCAGCAGTGTATTTTGGTCAGTCTGCCTGTTGTGTTCCCCACTGTGTCTCTGGTGAATCCCCTCACCTTCTTGCACGTCTGGCCTGCACTCCAGTTTTTGTATGCATGAATAAATAAATCTTTAAAAAAAAAAGATAAGACACAAAGGTTTCTTGCTAAGAATCTAAGATAGGTTCTTTTGCTTTGATGTAATCCTCAATGTACAAAGTTGTGTTAGGGACACAAATTAGAATTTGACAAGATTATATTAAATAGGCTATTGCTGTGCATTGCAGACAGGGAGCTGGATAAAACTCTTCCCTTGAGTTTCTGATTTGGAAATAGCAGAAAGTTACAATTGAGAAACACTAGACTAAAATAGAACAAAGTTGTCCAGGTATTGCCAATTTGTTTTAGATAGCTACATATGGGGCCTATTCTTTGGAAATTCTTGGTTTCTAGATCAATTTCAGATTAATTCCGATGAACTCAAATACTCCTTTCTTTCAGGGACCTTTTGTGTAGCTGCAACTTCTGATAGGACAGAAGAATCAAAATAAATTTATAATTATTTTGTTTGATAGCTATCCTGTCGATGACCATAATCAGTGGGAGAACCCACTAAAATGTAGTGTTCAAGTACTTTTAGACCATAACAGGTATAACAGCCCATATTCGCCTTTTTAGACATTACTCACATTTTGCATATAATCTTTTACCTACTGTATAACCTCTTTCAGACTTCTTCCATCTTTGTCAAATAGATTGATCACATGTTGCCATTATTGCTCTATACTTTATTTGCAGGTAGTTTTTCTCATTATAACATTTTTACAAATTGAGCGAACATTTATACAAGCATTTGAGAGTGGTGCATTCTCAATTCAGTCTTTTTTTTTTTAAAGATTATTTATACAAGCACTGGGTATAGTCAGAAGTGCGGGAGGGTGAGAGAATTCACCAGAGCCAGAGCGGGGAACAGAACAGGCAGATGGACGGAAATACACGGCTGAGGGGAGCAGCGGGCGCGGCAGGAGAGGTCTGCGCACCATGTGGAACCCTCGCCGGAGGCCGGGATCAAACCAGTGCTGCAGAGGCTGCAGCAGCTTCGCAGCCCAGCACTCAACTGCTGCGCCACCAGGGGAGGCCCTCAATTCAGTCTTGACTGAGCCTTTAACTTTGCTTGATAGGCTTAAAACTCCTTCCTTTTTTTTTTTTTTTTTTTGATCATTTTAAAAAATATTTATTTAGTAGAATATAAATATTTTGCATTTGTGCTTTCTCCTTTGCCATATTTATCTGTTTTTCCTTCAGACTTTTGACATTTTTAATCTAAATTTAATATATTTCATTTTTATTTCAATTAACCAAACTTGCTATCTTTTTCTCCTTCAGTACAAAATATTTCTACTACAAATGGTCTCATCACATAGAGTGACCTAGGTTTAAATTCTGACTCAGTGACCCACCAAATAGAACCATAGCGAGTTACTTAACTTTGCTGGTCCTCTGAACATTCTCCTTTGTCAAAAGGGATACATAAACTTCAGAGTGACAATAGAAATTAGTTAAGTAGGCATAGTTAACATAGTGTTGAGCACATCAAATGAGCTCAACAAATGATCACTGTTATAATTGTTAGTATTATATTCTCTCCATTAACTAGTAGGAGATGATCAACTCAATTGTTTATGCTCATTCCCTTTCTAGTTCCTGTAGGGAGATAATAGAATGATGCAGTATGAATACAACATAAAAGCTTTATAACAGCTCCCTGTTTTCTAGAATAGTCCTACTTGTGAGTTAGGAAATTCTGTCCCTCACCCTCACTTGCCCCATGAAATTATTTGACTTGTAGCTAAATAGAGATGTAAAGAAGGGAATCCTGATATGGACAGAAAGACTGGTTGGGCAAAGTCTTTGTAACTTCAGATAATTTATTATAAATAACACATTCTATTGACATAGTAAAACAAAAATAATGGGAAGAAGTAATAGTAATAATATCTGTAAAACATTGTGAGTCTACGATTCTGTGATTCTGTATTTTGAAGAACCTGAGTCTGAGGAATTCTATAAGCTTCCACATGCAAACCTGTGGTATGTTTGCTCTTACTATGGGATAGACGTCCTGTGCTACCACATTGCTCAGGCTAGACTACTTGGATGAGACAGTTATCATCTTTAATGTGGAAACTCCATCTTTTACCAGATGTAATTAGTGTGAGTTTTGTCAGCTAACGAAAATGTAATGAGGTTTTTTTTTTTTTTTTATTGTAATTTGGAAGAGCACCTCATTAATCCATTTATTAAAAGACAGTATAAAGTGAGTCATTTTACTGTTTTATTTTATTTTTTTTCTTTTCCTATCTAGAGTACATGGAGGTATGAAATTGTGGAAAAGAATCTTAAACTTTTGCTTGTTTTTTCCTGTAGGAACTGGCTGTCTGCAGATACCAAGGAAGAACGGGATCTCTGGATGCAAAAACTCAATCAAGTTCTTGTTGATATTCGACTCTGGCAACCTGATGCTTGCTACAAACCTATTGGAAAGCCTTAAACTGTGGGGAGTTTTTATGTCATATAGAAGTTTATTGAGCTATGTTATAAATTCATCTTAAGAGCATCAGATTTGCTGATTGCATTTTATGCTTACAAAAGGGTATGTGCCAATATTCACTACACAGTGCAGTATTTATATCTTGTATGTAAAACCACCTGGTTTCTCCTCTGTCATTTATTATGTCTGGAAGAAAATTCATTGCAGTCAACTTTGCTAGATCTTAATTTATAGGCCTCATCTTCCTAGATATCATATTACTCAGTTATTCATGATAAGATTTTTTTTTTTTAAGGTAAGAAATTTTGAGTTGTCTTCTTGGAGCTGTGGATCTTAAAGTAGAAAGGTCTTCCAGAGGTTCCATACACAGCCTCTGACTTCTTGTTGCTTTCTCTAGCCTCAGTTCTTTTTCTAAGGGTTGTGGTCACTTGTTGATCATGAGATCTTGTTACTAGAGTACTGAAAAAAATTTCTAGGTGATTTCACAGAAACATTCTAGTAATGGAGGTAAGAACTTTTGCAAATAGCAAATGTGCATTAAAGCTTGAGGCTCCCTGAAAACAACAAATGTGGACGTGGATGATATTGTATGAGATCTGAAGGTTTTATTTAGAAGAGATAATAATCATATGGCTTACATTTACTTAGTTACTACAGATGCAGTGTGGTGCACATTTTCATAGAACGCAGGGTTTTAAAAATAATTATTTTTGCTATATAACTTACACAGACTCCTCAACTCTATGGGCATGTTAGTTCTTTCTACTCCTCTAACAAGAACAAATGTAAATTGAAGAATCTTTATATAATAAAGGTAAACTTTACCAAGCTGCTATGTACTAATACTTTGCATGCCAAAGTTCCTGTTTTGTTTTGTTTTTTAATGTCCATATATCACAGTGTCTAGAAACCCATTATGAAATCATTTGAAAAACTGTTAAGTCATGTATTTCCTTTAAAAAGCCTAATGTCTTTTTTTATTATAAAGTATGGTAAGGAATGGTCTCAATTTTTAAATACAGTTTGAATTTCTTCTCTGAATTGTTAGTAATTGATGGTCTCATTTATAAACACTAAATTCTGTCACTTCCTGTCTTCTTTTTCCATTCAAATGTGTTTTTTCTTATGTGTATTGTAAAAATGTATTTTATGATCTCTTACCTGAATAAATACTTGCAAATGACTTAAGGAATCAGTTATTTAAGAAATAAATACTGTTTAAATGTTGCCATGTGACCACTTCGCATCCCTAGGCTACAGGCTTTTGGAGGTGTTATATTGACAAAATTTCATTCATCTTTTTGTCTCTAGCCCTGTACTCAGATTACTGTGTGTTTTAGGGTTGCTGCTCAATGTGTTGGTAGATGAAGGATCCTTTACAGAGGCATTTCAACAGAATATGGTAACTGGATATGCATTTGAGGGACTAGAGGTTGATTCCTAAGTGCTTAGCAGAGACTGAATAGATAAATGACATGACCATCAGGCACAGGGAACAGGTTTGATGAGATTGGAAGGGTCCCTTTTATTTGTATTTATAGATTTGTATTTATTTGTAGATTTGTATTCTTTTCTCTGTAGGTATTAAATATCATGGTACAAAATCCAAAAAGCACAAAGAAGTTCAAGTGAAAAGTATGTCTTCTTCCCTTGTTGCCATTTTGACCAGTAACTTTGAGAGTGCTCCTAGAGTGTGTATGTGTATTTCATAGACATGTTTGTATTTTTTGTTCATAAAAAATATTCCAGGGCCTCCCCTGGTGGCATAGGCAGTTAAGCACCGCACTGTGAAGCTGTCCACAGACTCTGCAGCACTGGTTAGATCCCAGCAGGCTGGTGAGGGTCCCACATGACATGGCAGACCTCTCCTGCCTCACCCGCTGCTCCTCTCAGCAGTGTATTTCGTCAGTCTGCCTGTTCTGTTCCCCGCTCTGTCTCTGGTGAATCCTCTCACCCTCCCGCGCATCTGGCCTGTATCCCAGTTCTTATATCAATAAATCTTTAAAAAAAAATTCCAACTTAGCATATATAGAGGCTATGTAAAATTCAGTTTTAGAAAAAATTAAGGTGATTGTGGAACATCAATTTAGAAATACCTGACAAACAGTGGGAAATACTGCTCTGAAGATTTCAGTGTTACCTGCCTGTGGGTATGTTGGGGAGTGTTGAAACCATCAGAGCAGAGTAGATAAGATCATCTAGGGAGTATGAGATGAGGTAGAAAACAAAGCAAGAACAGAAGAAACATGTTTTTTGGAGAAAAAGTGCAAAAGGAGGGGCTAGTGATAGTCTTACATGAAAGAAAAAAAAAGAATGATGAGACCAAAGAAGAATCTTGAGATTCTGACCGCAAAGTCATAAGGCAGATTAAAGAGAATATGAACTGAAATTTGGAGTGGCCAATTCAATAAAATCGTTCAGATAAAAAAATCAGGTTATAACAAAACCCATAGAGGAAAGAAAAGAATGGCTGATTTGATTGCACAAAAAAATCCCTGCCTCATAAATGTCTCTGAACAGTTAAAACACAAGCAACAGACTAGGAAAAATATTCACAACATATTTAATAATCAACTAATTAATATGCAAATACATGATTTTGTATGATACGAGCATTTACCAAGTGATGTTCTTGATGTTTTGCATACATTATCTCATTCTATCTTCATGTGACCTTATGAAATCGGCATTGAATGAGGAAACTAAAACTTAGGTAACATCTGAGGCAACACACTTAGGAAGTGTCAGACCAGGATTCAAATCCAGACAATAAAATTTGCCATTACACTATGATTAATCTGATTCTCAGATTTATAAAAAAGAGAAGGGTTAACATCCCAAAGAAGGGCAGATATTACTGGCAGGAAATGCATATACACAAACACAAATCCAAAGAGTCAACAAATGTAAAAATATTAATAAACAGAAAAATATAAATTTAAATGGTGATGTTTATTGACACCCCCCCCCTTCCTGGTAAAACTTGTCAATATTGCTGAGAAGCAAACTCATGTACTTAGTGAAAATAGAAACTGATACAGACTTCTTGGATGGCCACTTGACAACTTCCAGAAATTTCTGCTAATACATAGGATCAGATGGTCAAATCACACTATCTTGCATTAGGGATCTTGACCATATAAAGCTGTACTCATAATTTCAAGTACATAAGCAGTGGAGGCATTGGGAAGCAGGGACAAGTCTGATATCTGCAGTCTTCCAGGTCTTTCGTTCCCACATTAGTGGTCCTCGCAGGTCCACAGTAATAAGATCTCAGGTAAGGATGGGGCCCAGGGTGGGGAGGAGATGGTATCTCATACATCAGGGAGCCTCTAGGTGAGGCCATTTTATACCTAAGTATAATTACATAGCTATGTGACTTTCAGGAGGCTTGCTTCACAAATTCATATTCTAAGATTATTTACCATGAACATCCTTAACTAGCCACTTCCTACTAAAAGCATTTCATAGATACGAGATCTTCTAGCAAATATTAGTCTATTTGCCAGAGGGCCCAGTTTTCAGCACATTTACAAGGAGTTTGTTTCAGGTCAGCTGCTTTAACTCATTCACCTCCACATTCCTCAGATTAACTTGCAGATGAGCAAAGATATACATAAAAGGATGATCAGTATGATACTGTTTTTAAAGGGAAAAAATAGAAGTAAAAAGTCCATCAACAGGGAAGAAAACTAGAAATAATCTGTAAGTCCTAATTAATAGAAAATAATGATACATGCTACTAAACCATGAGTGGTTAAGTAGAGAAGCAAGTCTCTCTCTCTCTCTCTCTCTCTCTCTGTCTCGCTCTCTCTCTCTCTCTCTCTCTCACACACACACACACATAAAATAAAAGTCCCTAACAACCTAACAACTGGGGAAAAGGGATATATGCAACATGAACCTATGTGTGTAACATATGCACATCTAAGAGGGAAGAAACCACACTAAATTTTACATGACAAGGGGAGTGGGAAGATATTGGGAGAAGTGTTGGGTGGAGAAATGCTGTGACTTTTGAGTATTTCTAGAATATTTGATATGTTTACAATGAGAATGTGGATTTATGAACACTTAAAAATTAGAGTCAGAACAAAACATTGAGTGAGTAGAAGATTCAATAGAGATACAGGATGTTGGTTTAAGAAGGGAAAGACAATCATGATATCAGTGGAAGAAATACTGAGGAAAATATATTTTTGAATGAGGCAATGAGTACCTGAGACTACACTGACAGGCAGAGCAGAGGTGAGGGAAGATCTGAGGATGGAGGTTTAAAAGGCAGTGGAGAATGTGTTAGTGGAGAATGAAGGGTGACAGGACTCAGAAGACAGGGGAGTCCAGACCTCATTCCAGCAGTTCCGATTTGTTATGGGACTTTGTGGGGGTGGATGGTGAATGGAGAGTAGAATGACTGAGGGGCAGGGGGTGAGGGGGGATTGTGGAAAGGGCCCTAAGGGAAAAAGCTTTGAGAAATGGCAGCAACGCAGCCTGGTGGCGAGGACGGGCAATGCTGGCAGAGCAGAAAACTAGGACGACAGTGACGGGGGAAGGGGGAGATAAAGACCCAGGACTGCAGCAAAGCTCAGAGCGAGGTCGGAGGATCGAATCCTCACACCCATTCTATCATTATCAGTCACCTGTGGTCACTGCTAAACAATCCTGAGCGAGGTTTGAAATCCAAGTAGACCCCTTTTGCCATTTTAGTGGCTTCCTGGAATTTTCACTGACACTATTTTTGGAGAAGACGCGGCATATTTGCTCCATTTGAGTTTGAATTTTCAAACTGTCAGGCTGCTGGGGGGACCACCTGATGGGCGTGGCCACTGAGAGCGAGTGGCGCGTGTGCCCCGCCCCGCCCCGCCCGCCCCGCCCCGCCCACCAGCCGAGCGCACCTGCGCAGCGCCTCAGGCCGCGCATGCGCCCAGCGCAGCCGCTTCCCCGCCGGTGCCCGGGGAACCCGGTGTCTTGGGGCGCGGCTGGGAGGCGTCAGCTGTACTGCGGTCTGTGTGCCTCCTTGGGCCTCCAGAGGAGGAGTGAGCCAGAGGTGCGGGAAGGTGAGACACCTCGCTGTGGGAGGCTGACTGCGCAGGGGGCCACCGGAGCACCCAGTGCGGGAGGGGCAGGGTGTGGAAACCCGGGCCCCTTTTGGGGTTCCTTCTAGGGCCTGGGGGCTCTGGGGGGTCGGGGTGACCCGCGCGTCCCGCTTCCCTTGCCTGAGAGCGGGTCCTGCGCTCCCGACGCCCTCGCGGGAAGTGGACGACACCTGGGGGGGTTCTGGGCGCCCTGTTCTGGCGCGCGGGCCTGGCTGTTTTTATTACAGTGGGTTCAGGCTAGAGCGTGGGGAACGTACCGTCAAATTACCTGGGGCTGACACCGCCCCAACCCCTCCCCGGCCCGGGGGCCGCAGGCTGAGGGCAGAGCCGGCTCCGGACGCCGCGCCTGAGCAGGCCCCAGGCGGCGGGTCCCGGGCATCTGCCCCTGAAGGTGAGGCGCGAACCCCCACACCCCCCGCGCCCCGGGAGGCAGGTAAAGAAGGCTTAACTGGGGCGCTCAGCCTTTGCATCTCCCCGGGGCGTTCGTTAGAAAGGAGGGACTGAATGGGGCTTGACTTCCTCCGGCATCAGCATGTGTGTAGGTTGGGACAAATGACAAAAACAGGCCAGTATCAGCTTGAATTTCTTTATTTTTTTCCCACTCCTCCTACTGACATTGGTAAACATAAGGCCCATTTTTCAATGTCAGGGCTTTTGCACTTGAGGTCCTCCCTGCTTGAAGTGCCCACTGCATCACTTCATTCGGGTCATTGTCAAATAACTCCCTCCTCAGAGAGAGCCACTAGGTCACTGTGTCTGAAACAGCACCCCTCGGGCACCTTAATCTATTTTCCACACCTTTTCTCCATGATACCTGTTAGTACCTGACATCTTTCCCTTTGGCCCTGTCTCTCTCCCCACTCCCGCTTAACCTCAGGAACCTCACTTGGTTCTTAGAGTCCAGTAGATTTTAATTAGTATTTGACTGGTTTTCTCACCTGCTGTGTAATCAGCCAACATTTGTGTTTGTCATCTGACTTGCTTTACTACAAAGGAGGCCCTCGCATCCCTTCCCTTTTCATGTAAACAGTCATGTTTTGTCTTTCCATGTGGCTGAGTAGTGTTCCCTTGTGTGGACAGGCCACACCTTGACGCAGCCCTCTCTGCAGGCACACAGGTCACTACAGCCTTTGTTTAGGTGTAATTTGGGTGTAAATATGTGGGGGAGGTGAGCTGGGCATCTCCACCCTCCACAGCCTTTTCATTTCCCCACTGGAACTCAATCCACTCAGCACGGACTCTCCGGCCTCTCTGCCCTCACCCCCGGACAACCACACTCCACCTTCTCTTTCCAATTTGATGCTCTGGATACTCACCTGAGTGGAATTTCTCTACATTTGTCCTGTTGTGTCTGGGTAATTTATTGCACTTCTTATAAAGCCTCTAAGTTTCCTACAAGTTGTGGCACGTATCACAATTTCCTTCCTTGTTTAAGAGTGAATGTGACATTTCCTGTAGGCCACATTTTGTTTTTACATTTCTTTATCGCATGGAGTCAGTTGCTTCTAGATACTGGTAGACTGTGAATAATGCTGCTTGAACATGGGTGTAAAGGTAGCTGTTTGAGTCGCTGCCCTCAATTCTTTCGGGTGTTCCTGAGATGGAATGGCCGTGTCACGTGTTAGTTGTGTGTTCAGTGTTTAAGGGAGTTGCCGTGCTGCCCCCCACAGCAGCTGCACCGATTGACTTTCCTCCTTCAATGGCAGCGTGATACTGGAGTTTATGAATCTACCCCGTTTTGTTTGTCCACTCACCCACTGATCGACATTTGCACTCTTTCTACCCCTGGCCATTATGAACAGTGCTGCTATAATATTTGTGTACAAAATTTAGCTTGAACACCTGTTTTCCATTGTTTGGGGTTTATATCTAGGTGTGGAGACATTGAAATATATGGTAATACACTTTTTTTTAAAAAAAACATTTTGGGGAAGTGCCAAACTATATTAAGCATGGACTGCCTCATTTTACATTTCCACAGCATACGTGACAATATTTTTATTTAAAATTGTCTCCATTTTTACCATTGTAGAAAAATCCCAGGATTCTGCAGAAAACCAGGATGCTTCTACATATTGGGTGAAAAATGAAGTTCTTGCAGGTGTAGTAATCCAAGTACATTAATGACTGCCAGGTATTTTTAGTGCTAAAATGTGCACACATGTGTCAAGCAAGCAAAAGGTCATCTTTTTGAAAGCTTTCAAAAACTTTTGATATGAAATAAGTAGATCAAGAAAACTTATGAGTGTATTGCCCACTTATCCATAGGTAGGGATAGTAGTTTTTTGGATTGTATACCTAGAGGCTAGGACGGATTATCTTTTATCTTTTTTCTTTTTAAAGATTTATTTCTTATTATGCATACAACAACTGGGGTATAGTCAGAGGTGGGGGGAGGGTGGATGAGTGAGAGGATTCACCCGAGACAGTGGAGAGAAGGCAGATCCAATGAAATACTGCTGAGGGGAGCAGCAGGCGAGACAGGAGAGGTCTGCTGCGCCATGTGGGTCAGCTGCCAGGCTGAGGAGTGAACTCATGCTGCAGTGGCTGCAGATAGCTTGATAGCTGAGACTTTAACCCCTGCACCATGAGGGAGGCCTTTATCTTTTCAGTTAACTATAATAAAAACATTGCCAGTAAGAACTAACTCCCATTCCTTGAGCGAGTTTCCCAGGTAATCGTCACAAATCAAAATGAACTAAAATTAAGGAACCAACAGTAAATGAGGGCCTGTCATGCGTGGTACCTCTTCTCTGCGTGGCTAACTCAAAATGCTGTCCAGGTATGAGTGTCTTTGGGAAGCTTCTCCTTGTCCCTGTGGCCTGGTGTGTTTGACCAGCAGAGTCCTTAACTCCTATAATCTCCCCCACCACAGACTGGGAGCCCCGTAGGGCAGTGGCCAACCTCATCTAGCTTCTGATGAAAGGGTACCCAAGAAATAGTTAGCTGCCCTGGAGGCAGCAAGGAATTCTACGTGTGCCCTGGTAATGCCCTGAAAAGATATACACAAAGATTGTCACCAGTATCTTGACTGGCAGATTAGCACACATCTTGGTGTTTTTTTTTTTTTTATAAATAAATTTTATTTTTATATTCCCCATACAATTGCAACCCCCTTATTTTGACCCCAATCCCTCCCCTCCCCACGCCCCACCCCCCATAGAGTGTCTCTGGTTCATAGTTTTTAGTTGATTTTGATTTTCACTTTCTTATAGTTATTCATTCTCCTGGTCCCTTATTTAAGTTTTCTAGATTCCTGCTATGAGTGAGACCATCCGGTGTTTTTCTTTTTCTTTCTGGATTATTTCGCTAAGCATGATCCCTTCCAGCGCCATCCATGTTGCTGCAAAAATTGCATGTGTTTATCTTTTTTGAATGCTGAGTAATATTCCATGGTGTATATGTACCACATCTTCTTGATCCAGTCATCTATTTTTGGGCATTTGGGTTGTTTCCAAAGCTTACTACTAAACATAGAGCTTCCATATGATCCAGCATTTCCACTCTAGGTATTTACCCAAAGGACACAGAAACATCGATTCCAAAGAGCACCTGCACCCCTCTGTTTATAGCAGCACTGTTTACAATAGCTAAGCTTTGGAAACATCTTCGTGTTTCATAGAAGGTTCATTCCATTCCCGGCCCCTCCATCTTCAGAGTCCCTCCACTGCACACTCCTCCTGCTCGTGGGCTCCCACCACCTTCCAGTTTTGTCTTCTCCAAGAATGTCTCCACCTTTCCCCTCTGCCCCCAGGCCCTGTGATTCAATACTCTGCCACATTTTCTATTTCAGGCTAATAGAGACCCTGATGCTGGAGTTGCCGTAGAACAAGATGCTCAGGTAAATGAGACCTAATACGTGATGGTTTTACTGTGATATGTAAGTGACAAAGTCCATGTTACTAAAAAGCCATCATCAGAGTAGTAATAGCATCTAAGAGCAATCTTATTTCTGGGTCATTACCAAAACATAGGACCCCTGCAAGTACAGTTTTCTCATTTTGTTCTGGCAACAAAATATTTTATCCCAAATAGAAATGAAATGAAATGAAATAAATTGCATATGAACAGTGAGTCCCATCTAAGTATGTTGCCCCTTTCCAGTTATGGAACATTCATGAAACAGAAATTAAAACAAGAACAACTTTGGTGCATTTTTTTTTTTTTCCCTTCCTGAAAGGACAGGGTGGAGCTGTATGCAGTAGATGAAGAAGATATTTCATCGATAAAAGGTGTTTTCTTATGTAACAGATGACAAGGTACAAAACTGGGAGATTCTTCCACCTTTCCTTGGATGGAACTCTTAAGTAGGAGTGTTCTTTTGTCAGCTGCTTTATAGTGACACCCGGATAACATGTTGCACGTAAGTGGCTTTTAAATTCCAGGCCTCTCTCAAAAGTTGGGCCTTGTTGATTACTGGGATGACACCGCACTGTGGGCTGGGTAGGCGACTGTGTGGTTGTCACAACCCTCCAGGGTGGGAGTTCAGGTCAGGGGCGAAGATGTAGGCCGTCTCAGGTGACCGTGTGAGGCCTTGGCTAGCGGGCAGCAGGCCAGGTTCCCAGCAGGACCCGAGGTGTCCCGAGCACAGTGCCGCAGGGCGAGGCTACTGGGGGTGGTCACCGGTGCGTTTTTACCTCGTTCTTACTGGTTTCTCCCCTCAGAGAGCCCATGTACAGCAGTGATCAGACTTTCTTGTGCCCGTGGACCTCCTGGGGTTCCCCTTGGAGTACAGGTTCTGACCCAGTGAGCTGCTCAGGAGTGAATGAAGGCAGGACCTGTGTCCTGCATGCCCATAACTGAACCCAAAAAGCCCCTCTGTTTTCCACATCCAGCTCCTCCTGCCGTAGGTCCTCTGACTGCTCCCCCTCTGCAGTGAGCCACCCACAGGGAGGTGTTCCTCACCTTCCCTTCACTTTGGGGGCTCACCTTGTCCTCTCAGGTCAACAATACCCCCCCCCCCCCCCCCCATCAAACTGCAGGTGGCACCTCCCATCTGGGTCCTGAGCAGGCCAGGTTCCCCCAGCAGGAGCCCCCCTCCCAGCCCTGGGCCCTGGCAGCTCACAGGTGAGGCTGGAAGTCTTTCCCGGGGGCCAGCCCCACCTCCCGCCCGTCGGGCCCCAGCTACATGGTAACATTTTGGGAATTCAGACCGGAGTGGAGGCAGATAGCCCTGCCTGCTCAAAGATAGGGTTAACCTAAGGATTCTGAGAACAGCGCAGAGGGCTCCGGTGTACCCGCCCGCTAGAGGGGGTGGGGGCGATGTTTGTGTCATGTAAATTATGTTAGGTGTACACCCAGCTCAGTGTCAGAATTGCTCAAATGTGTTGAGCTTCAGATGCAGCTGAGAGACTGACCCTGGGGGTCAGGGCTGGGCACAGGCCTGGAGGGAGAACGGAGGCCCCGCAGGCTGTCCTGGGGGCACTTCATAAGCAACGAGGATGCGCCTCCCGGCTGCCTGCGGAGACCCTGCCTCGGGAAGGCCGTGGGGTCCGGGCACACGCCTTGAGTGGAGACTGAGATGGAGGGGAAGTGGGGGGGAGAGAGGGAACTGGGACGGGGGTAGGTCCCCTTTTCATTAGGGGGCGGGTTAAATAATATTGGCTTTCACTTAGATTTTTTCATAAAATTCTGGTGAATTTTTGCACATAAAGATTTTTAATCTGCATTCCAATGCTTTTCCTTAGGTCATTTTCCAAAAATAGAAAGATGAGTTCTATTTAAAATAAAATAAAATGAAATGAAACTACTAAATTCAAGATTCCCTTGAATTGAAGGTGTGTGTGACTTTATTTGCTGTGGAATGAGAGAGAACATGATGCCTGTGGCCCCTGCAGCTTTTCCTCCTCCTCGGCTGTCGTCCTCGCGGCTGTTGGCCCCGCCCCGCCCCGCCGGCCCCGCCCCCGTCCCCGTCCCTGGAACCGGCCTCTGTAAATGCCGCTTTCGCCGCCTCGCTCCTCGCCCGCGGGCGGCGTCCCCCGCCGTCTGTCTACACCTCGGGCCGCGCGGCCCCTTCGTTTCCCGCGTGACCCGCGGGCACGGCCTTCACGGGCGACCCTCCGTTTTACTGCGCTTCGCCCCTTTCCCACTTCCTCTGCGCTTGGCCCTCCCGTCCCGCCTTTCACCTCCCCGTAGGCGCTGCCCCGCGTCCGCTTCCTCACACGGCAGCCTCCGGTCCAGGAGGAAACGCTTTCCCGTCCCGTCCTCCCCGCGCCTCGGAAGCCGCATTGCTCCCGGGCCCTGTCAGGTCCCCAGGCCGTGACTTTCCCACGATACCACCCCGGTCCACAAGACGGCGCGCGCCGTCTTGCCAGCGGCTCATTTGTCCGAGGAGCCGCTCCTTCCTCCGCAGACACTTCCATGTCGTGTGTGTCCATAGACCATTATTTTCCCACGATACAACCCCGGTCCAAAAGGCGGCGCTCTCCTATTTTCGAGCAGCTCATTTGTCCGAGTAGCCGCTCCTTCCTCCTCAGACACTTCCTTGTCATCTGTTTCCATAAACTGATTTTCCCACGATACCACCCCGGTCCAGAAGGCGGCGCTCTCGTTTTTCGAAGAGCTCATTTGTCTGAGTAGTCGCTCCTTCCTCCTCAGACACTTCCGTGTCAACTGTTTCCACAGACCGTGATTTTCCCACGATACCACCCCGGTCCACAAGGCGGCGCACTCCTATTTTCGAGCAGCTCATTTGTCCGAGTAGCCGCTCCTTCCTCCTCAGACACTTCCGTGTCAACTGTTTCCATAGACCGTTATTTTCCCACGATACCACCCCGGTCCACAAGACGGCGCTCTCATATTTTCGAGTATCTCATTTGTTCAAGTAGCCGCTCCTTCCTCCTCAGACACTTCCGTATCAAATGTTTCTATAGATCGTGATTTTCCCACGATACCACCCCGGTCCACAAGACGGCGCTCTCTTATATTGGAGCGAATTAGCTGCCCAAGAGTCTCTCCTTCCTGTCCGGGAACTTCCGTGTTACCTGCTTCTTAAGTGCTCGATTTTCCCACCATACCACCCCAGTGCACAAGGAGGCGCTATCCTATTTCTAATCCCGTTTTCTTGCATACGCTAGTCTTCTTTATCAGTTTAACAATGTCGTCTACTGATGACGTAATTGTAGGGCGCAGTCAACTAGGAAGGAAGGAGAGGCTCCTTGGCTAGATGAAGTACTGAAAAAATATAGAGCGCCCCCTTGTGGACCGGGGTGGTATCGTGGGAAAATAACAGTCTAGGGAAACGACATATAAATGTCCTATGAGGAAGGAGAGGCTCTTCGCGCTAATGGGCTGATCTAAAAACGGAGCGCGCCATCTTGTGGACCGGGGTGGTATCGTGGGAAAGTCACGGCCTGGTGACCTGACAGGGGCCGGGAGCAATGCTGCTTCCTTGGCGCGGGGAGGACGGGACGGGAAAGCGTTTCCTCCTGGACCGGAGGCTGCCGCGTGAGGAAGCGGACGCGGGGCAGCGCCTACGGGGAGGTGAAAGGCGGGACGGGAGGGCCAAGCGCAGAGGAAGTGGGAAAGGGTAGAAGCGCAGTAAAACGGAGGGTCGCCCGTGAAGGCCGTGCCCACGGGTCACGCGGGAAACGAAGGGGCCGCGCGGCCTGAGGTGTAGACAGACGGCGGGGTCGCCGCCCGCGGGCGAGGAGCGAGGCGGCGAAAGCGGCATTTACAGAGGCCGGTTCCAGGGACGGGGGTGGGGCCGGCGGGGGCGGGGCGGGGCCAACAGCCGCGAGGACGACAGCGGAGGAGGAGGAAAAGCTGCAGGGGCCACAGGCATCATGTTCTCTCTCATTCCACAGCAAATAAAGTCACACACACCTTCAATTCAAGGGAATCTTGAATTTAGTAGTTTCATTTCATTTTATTTTAAATAGAACTCATCATTCTATTTTTGGAAAATGACCTAAGGAAAAGCATTGGAATGCAGATTAAAAATCTTTATGTGCAAAAATATTCACCAGAATTTTATGAAAAACATCTAAGTGAAAGCCAATATTATTTAACCCGCCCCCTAATGAAAAGGGGACCTTCCCCTGTCCCAGTTCCCTCTCTCCCCCCCACTTCCCCTCCATCTCAGTCTCCACTCAAGGTGTGTGCCCGGACCCCACGGCCTTCCCGAGGCAGGGTCTCCGCGGGCAGCCGGGAGGCGCATCCTCGTTGCTTATGAAGTGCCCCCAGGACAGCCTGCGGGGCCTCCGTTCTCCCTCCAGGCCTGTGCCCAGCCCTGACCCCCAGGGACAGTCTCTCAGCTGCATCTGAAGCTCAACACATTTGAGCAATTCTGACACTGAGCTGGGTGTACACCTAACATAATTTACATGACACAAACATCGCCCCCACCCCCCCTAGCCGGCGGGTACACCGGAGCCCTCTGCGCTGATCTCAGAATCCTTAGGTTAACCCTATCTTTGAGCAGGCAGGGCTATCTGCCTCCACTCCGGTCTGAATTCCCAAAATGTTACCATGTAGCTGGGGCCCGACGGGCGGGAGGTGGGGCTGGCCCCCGGGAAAGACTTTCAGCCTCACCTGTGAGCTGCCAGGGCCCAGGGCTGGGAGGGGGGCTCCTGCTGGGGGAACCTGGCCTGCTCAGGACCCAGATGGGAGGTGCCACCTGCAGTTTGATCGGGGGGGGGGGGGGGAGAGGGGGTATTGTTGACCTGAGAGGACAAGGTGAGCCCCAAAGTGAAGGGAAGGTGAGGAACACCTCCCTGTGGGTGGCTCACTGCAGAGGGGGAGCAGTCAGAGGACCTACGGCAGGAGGAGCTGGATGTGGAAAACAGAGGGGCTTTTTGGGTTCAGTTATGGGCATGCAGGACACAGGTCCTGCCTTCATTCACTCCTGAGCAGCTCACTGGGTCAGAACCTGTACTCCAAGGGGAACCCCAGGAGGTCCACGGGCACAAGAAAGTCTGATCACTGCTGTACATGGGCTCTCTGAGGGGAGAAACCAGTAAGAACGAGGTAAAAACGCACCGGTGACCACCCCCAGTAGCCTCGTCCTGCGGCACTGTGCTCGGGACACCTCGGGTCCTGCTGGGAACCTGGCCTGCTACCCGCTAGCCAAGGCCTCACACGGTCACCTGAGACGGCCTACATCTTCGCCCCTGACCTGAACTCCCACCCTGGAGGGTTGTGACAACCACACAGTCGCCTACCCAGCCCACAGTGCGGTGTCATCCCAGTAATCAACAAGGCCCAACTTTTGAGAGAGGCCTGGAATTTAAAAGCCACTTACGTGCAACATGTTATCCGGGTGTCACTATAAAGCAGCTGACAAAAGAACACTCCTACTTAAGAGTTCCATCCAAGGAAAGGTGGAAGAATCTCCCAGTTTTGTACCTTGTCATCTGTTACATAAGAAAACACCTTTTATCGATGAAATATTTTTTCTTCATCTACTGCATACAGCTCTACCCAGTAATCAACAAGGCCCTGACATTTGAGAGGCCTGTATGGCTGCTCTAGCACTTTCCCCTCCCGTAGGGGTAGTGCTCAGCCAGCTCTGTGCTCCACTGGACACTTCACAAGGAAAGGCGAGAGGGGAACCGACAGGCAACAACCCTGAGACTACTGGCTTGGACAAAAGAGACGGGCTTTAGGGGCAGACTGGCCCAAGTGGGGCCTGGGTTTTGCCCTCCAATTCCTGAGCCTCCGTTTCCTTAGCTAGACAAGGGACGGTGTCCCCTCCACTTTAGAGGACGCTCGGTGCAGTCACCGGAGATTTCTGAGTGCCCGCTCCTGCTGGAAGGTGAAGCGTGTAGCTATCTGCCACGAGCCGACAGCTCAGAGAGCCCGGGGGGTGGGGGACAGTCAGGTACAAAGGCAACTTCAGCAGACGGCCGCAAGGACTGTGGAGGGAAGCTCCAGTGCCCTGGACTTCCCTGTAAGGGCACCTGATACTCACCTGGCCGGGGGTGAGGCAGGGCTATGCAGAAAGGACTTGCCCTTGAAAAAGAACGAGTCAGGTGAACGGGCGGCGGGGGCGAGAAGAGAGCGAGCGTGCAGGAGAGAGGCTGAAGGCACAAGTGAGTAAGAGGCAGATAACAAGAGTCTCATAAGTACGTTCAGAGGCTTGACCTTCAGCCTGAGGACAGTGGGCACCAACGTAGGGCTTTCGGGCTTTAACAATGACATGACACAGTAGGCTTGCCCTTCCTCAGGGACCGTGAGGCAAGCGGGAGGGACTGTTTGGTTCTTTCCTGATCTCCCTCCAGCTAGCACAGCATTCTGAGGACACGAAGTCAACACACCCTGCTGGAGACCCGTGCGGCGTGAGGTGCTGAGACAAGGAGGATGTCGGGGTCGTGACTGGAGATGGGTCACACAGGCTGGAAGATCAGCCCGTGTCCAGACCACGATGTCCTTTCTTGTGTCAGCAAAGCTAAGCCTGAGACACAGGCGAGACTAGAAAGGGAATAGGACATACCGGCAACGCAGAACCCTGGCCGTGAAGATGTGCCCGGCCAAGGCTAGAACGAAGAGTGATTCATTGTCTAGTAACGAACAAGGAGGGAGGGGGGCAGTTTGTATCGGTGAACATGAGTCGCACTGGGCACTCGGACGCTTGGGCTTGGACTGAGAAGCCTTGCGTCCCCTGGGTCCCACTTCTCTTAAACATATTTTCTGTCTGTCATTTCTTTATTTCCAGGTTCTTTCGGTTTCCTCTCCTCAACCCTGTTCACCGGAGCTGGTCTCCGGCACCACCCAACAGTGATAATGTCCTCCAGCTTCCCTGTTAGCCAAGGCAGACCCCAAGTCCAGTTTCAGAGAGAACCGTCCGCGGGAAGAGCGGATGAAAAGGGCCTGTGACTCTCCCAGGTGGGTGACCAACCATCAAGGCCTGCGTAGTTTACTGCCTCACGTGACCAGAAAGTCGGGCCTATGATACATGATTCTACCTTTATTACCGATTTCACATTTTCCAGTTTCATGCTCTGAATTTCCTCACTTAATTCCTATGTTGGATTACTTTATAAACCATACCGACACTATGCAACATGTTATCCGGGTGTCACTGTAAAGCAGCTGATGATAAAACACTCCTACTTAGAGTTCCATCCAAGAAAAGGTGGACGAATCTCCCAGTATTGTAACCTGTCCTCTGTTACATAAGAAAACACCTTGGGCCTCCCCGGTGGCGTAGTGGTTGAGCACTGGGTTGTGAAGCTGCCTGCAGCCTCTGTAGTGCCGGTTCGATCCCCGGCCACTGGTGCGCAGACCTCTCCTGCCACCCACTGCTCCCCTCAGCAGTGTACTTTGTCAGTCTGCCTGCTCTGCTTTCCCCTTTGGCTCTGGTGAATTCGCTCACCCTCCCGCGCTTCTGACTGTACCCAGTGCTTATATAAATAAATAAATAAATAAATCTTTAAAAAAAAAAAAAAAAAGACGCAGCTTTGAAAAAAAAAGAAAACACCTTTTATCACTGAGATATTCTTTCTTCATCTACTGCATACAGTTCTACCCTGTCCTTTTAGGAAAAAAAACAAAAAAACAAAACAAAACAAACACCTAAGTTGTTCTTGTTTTAATTTCTGTTCTATGAATGTTCCATAACTGGAAAAGGGTAACATCTAGATGGGACTCACTGTTCATAAGCAATTTATTTCATTTCATCTCATTTTGGGATAAAATATTTTGTTGCCAGATCAAAATGAGAAAACTATACTTGCAGGGTCTTATGATTTGGTAATGACCCATAAATAAGTTGCTCTTACAACACTGCTGATGATTTACTAACATGGATTTTTGTCACTTACATGTCACAGTAAAACCATCACGTATTAGGTCTCATTTACCTGAGCATCTTGTTCAACCGCAACTCCAGCATCAAGATCTCTATTAGCCTGAAATAGAAAATGTGGCAGAGTATTGAATCACAGGAGCATTTTTGTGCAAAAGGAGAAATGGTTCCATCTGAAGGTACATAAAGCTTTTACTCCCAGGAAGAGTACATTGTTTTTATAAAGATCATAACAATGCTACATGAATTACTTTATCACATAGCACTGTGCAAATCCAATCTGGCGGGGGTGAGGCGGGGCTATGCAGAAAGGATCTGACCCTGTTGATTTCAAATTCAAATATAATGATATTTGGGGAAAAAACGCACCGACACCTATGAGTTTAGGTAGTAAGAGTTTAGGTCAGATGCTCCAAAACACAATGCAGCTCAGGAAGCACACAGCCAGAATCAAGCAGGTGTCACAAATGATTCAAAGAATTTTAAGTGAATTTATTTGACCATATTCAAACTGGCCAGGCTTCAGAGTTTTTAATCAAACTGTGAACAGTCTCTACTCAGTACCTGACAGGGAAACGCCAACGTCCTCTGGCTGTACCTGGAGTATCCCCCACACTGCACTGTCTTCCAGGTTTGAGTCTTTTCCTGCAACAGAATAATTTCAGACTTAACTTACAGCTTCTCTACAACTAGAAAAAAAAATATCCTTCCCCATTAATCAAATGGGAACGTCCTAAAGGAACAATACTTGATTAACATAAATGTTCTCTACTCTCCCTCTGAGTGCAGCAAGGACTAAAGGCAAATGCTTTCTGGGAGCAGCAAAGGGAGAAAATTTGCATTTCTAAATGGCTGAGCCATGATTCAGATGAGAACCAAACGCTTCTGGAGCCTAATTTGTTCACGGCGTGTCCTGTAAAGGAGAACAGTGGGAACAAGAAGGACATAGAATGAGGTAAATAATGTTAGCCTCTTACTACAGATACCCGGACATGGGACCACAGACACAGTAAACTTGGTGATAGTGCATAATTGACAGAGTTGATCATTTTCCTATCAACAAACTCATGTTATTTTAATTTGTGAAATGGAGAATTCCTTTTGTGAAAGCTACCATTTGTATTTCTCCAACACGCCCTCTGGACAAACACTGTGATGTCAACAAAATGAGAGGGGTTGCTGCTGAGTCTTTTATTTGACAGTTTTTGTTTCTTTTAACTTTGTGCTGAGATAGATTATATGTTTTTTCTTTTCTGAAGAAATAAAGGATACATGTGTTAAAAAAAATGCCCGTGGTATATAGTGTAATGGGAAGTTATAAGACTGAGGGCTGATAATTTCCACTTGCAAAAGCCAACCTCTCCAAAGGGGAGCCTTCATTTTCCAAATCAAAGAAACACTTTAAAGAGAGAATTTTAAGATTAGACATGATTATGTACATCGCTCGGTAAATCCTTATTAATGATAATGAGAAAATCATTAACTTGGAGGTGGAGGAAATGGCAGAGGACCCCCAAGCCAAGTGAACGAAGCGAACGTGAATGCAATGGGTCGCAGCGACAGCGGGCGCATGGCAGATGGGCAGTTGCTCCTCCTCTGGTGGTGTTGGCATGAATGAGTCAATCTTAATCCAAATCTAAGCATGAAAGACATCAGCACCATGCAAATTTCGATACACATTATTTTCCCTGTGTTCCATAACCTCTAGCTGTAATCTCTAGAAACACATTTAAACAGCGAGTGTACGGCGGTCCGCCTAGCTAGTAGGTAGCTCTTTTCAGAGTTTTTTAAGTTACGCCACTCACGCTATCCTGCTGACGTGTGCGTTCCACATCCTGTCGCAGTGAACTAATGCTGCATTGCAGGAAACCTAAAAGCTACATTTTCCCCTGTGCACTCTTATGGAGCACCTGCCAGGGGATTCTCAGATAGCGACGCCTCACCATCTAGTAAATACGCTCTCAAAAGGGAATATTTCAGTAAGTGAAGACCATTGTTTCATGATGAGACTTTTTCATGCCATGTAGAAATTCTGGAATCAGAGGATGGAGTGACAGCTCTGGGACAAAAGGAAAAAGTATTCTCAAGACATGACTTTGATTTTCACAAGAAGAACAGGGAGGTGGGCCTCCCTAGCGGCACAAGGAGTTAAGTCTCAGTGCTATGGAGCAATCTGCAACCACTGCCACATGAGTTCGATCCCCAGCCAGGGAGCTACTCACATGGTGCAGCAGACCTTTCCTGTCTCACCCGCTGCTCCCCTCAGCAGTGTATCTCAGTAGATCTGCTTGTTCTGCTTCCCACTCTGTCTCTGGTGAATCCTTTCACACCACCCCCCACCCCGCGACTCTGACCTGTATGCCAGTTCTTGAATGCATAAATAAATAAATCTTAAAAAAAATAATAAAAATTAAAAAAAAAAAGAAGAGGAGAGAGGGCAGAAAAAAGAAGTGTTTGGCACACTTGGGATGAGAGGATGAAGGGGCAGAAGCCCTCCGGGGTGGGGTTGTGGTGTTTTGATTTAGAGACAGGAAGCAGCCCTGTCTGCAAAGGGGGGAATATCATCATCACCAAGGGACAGGGTTATTTTTTTTTATCAGCTATGCAGTTTATTTTAAATTGAAGGAAGGAAAGCATGTGAGGGACAAGTATGGGTAAGGCTGATGAGAAATGAGCATTTTGTGAGGCTAATTTCCTTCTCACTGCCTCACTGGGTGAGGCTGTCGGAGCACAGCAGGTAGGAGAAGCTGCATTACTGTGATCTTTCACAGCATCAGAAGCCTCTGGGAAACTCTTTGAAAATGGTCAACATGCAGGTACTCCCACAGGGAACAGACTGATGGCCACGACGATGCCAACAGAGCCACTGTAAAGATCTTACCTGAGACTAAGGAACCAGAACTTTCTGACAGTGAGAACCTGTGTGTGTGTGTAACATGTTGGCCAAGTGTAAGAAGAAGATCGGCTCCCTGGGACACTGAGAGCAGACCTGAGGAGATGCCAAAGCAAAGCCCCACAGGGAGGACCTCCACCCCTCACGTGAGGTTCCCTCAAGTTCCCCCAGGTCCCACCCCACAGGTGAAGGCTGTGGACTCCACAGGTGAAGTTCTAGGATAGGTAGGGACAGGTGCTCCTGAATTACCAGATCCATAAAAAAACCCGCGCCTGAGTCCATGATCTAGTCTAGGGTCACCGCCTCTGTTGCCTTGACCACCTAAATACATCTTAAGTGTAATCACTCCACCTCCCAGTGATATTATCTTGGTAGGAATGAGAACAGAGCACCTCCTCTTGAAAGTAAGGCTTAATCTCCCAGATGAGACAGCTCCTTGACCTTGTGTAGTCGTTCAGAGCCATTAAGATCTCACCTGCAAGGGCCAACTTAACGGCCCTGACCTTTAAGCTTATTTCAGCTGAACCATAATCTCTATCTGTGTTGGGGGAGGGACCATGTCCCCAGCCCCACTTAATGAGGGGCGGAGCTGAGCGGCCAGGTGAAGCTATGTGACACAGAAGGCAGGCGGGCTTGAGAGACACTTGCAGAAGAGCGCGCTTGCTTCTCGGCTTTGGGGGACTTGGAAGAGAGATGTGGGGAGACATGTAGAGACATCTGAAAGAGACGTGTGGGTAAGAGACAGGTGGGGAGGTTGACCTTTGATTTGGCTCCCTTCATCCCAGACATGTCTGGCCCCACCTGCCCATGCCCCTTTCCTGTGGCTCCCCATCAAAAGGTGTCCTAGGCTTGTGACAAGCTTTTGGGCCTCGGCAGCCCTGCTTTGGGCTAACTTTGTTTGGACATATGCCCATGGGGGTCAGGGGAGAGTGGAGGGATGGGTAAACAGGGTGTTTTTATTGGGAAACTACTCTCCCTTCTCTCAGTGCATGCTGATTCTATTTAAGTGCTTTTACCCCAAGAGTCTTTGTGTGCACAGATGACCCGGCTCCTTTAAAATTAAAGTTTGGAGGGCCTCCCCTGGTGGCGCAGTGGTTGAGCGCTGGGCTGCGAAGCTGCCCGCAGCCTCTGCAGTGCCGGTTTGATCCCTGGCCGCTGGCGAGGGTCCCACATGGTGTGACAGACCTCTCCTGCCTCACCCGCTGCTCCCCTCAGCAGTGTATTTCGTCAGTCTGCCTATTCTGCTTCCCGCTCTGGCTCTGGTGAATTCTCTCACCCTCCCACGCTTCTGACTGTACCCAGTGCTTGTATAATAAATAAATCTTAAAAAAAAAAAAATAAACGCTTGGAGGTCCTGGGTCTGCGCCGGACACATACACTACACTCAACTCAGAAACCAACTCTGCTTACTGAAGCCATCAGACGATATCATAAACACAACATGAAGGGAGTACTACTTGAACAAATGACATTTATTTATTTATTTATTTTTTTTGTTTGTTTGTTTTTTTATTTATACAAGCACTGGGTACAGTCAGAAGCTTGGGAGGGTGAGAGAATTCACCAGAGCCAGAGCGGGGAGCAGAGCAGGCAGAAGGACCGAAGTACACTGCTGAGGGGAGCAGCGGGCGGCAGGAGAGGTCTGCGCGCCATGTGGGACCCTCCTCCGGTGGCCGGGGAGCAGCCGGGGGATCGAACCGGCACTGCAGAGGCTGCGGGCAGCTTCGCAACCCAGCGCTCAACCGCTGCGCCACCGGGGAGGCCCGAACAAATGACATTTATAAGTGAAAAATTATGAAAGCTAACCTCTGAAATAAAAATATTCTGCATTTTTTTAAAAGCTTTCCTTGACAAATGACATTTCCCATCATGCTGAGATCGGATACAGCAGCCTCAGATACAGTACCATCTTGCTCCACCAAGGCCCCCAAACCTCCCAAGGTCCATGTTAGCTAGCTATCTGCACTGGACGGTGAAAGGAACAAAACCAGCTGAGACTTCGAAAGATATGAGTGTCCCCACTTTGTAAGTAGGGCCCAGGATTGGGCTGCTCTTCAAGTTATGACAACAGAGACATGCAAATAAAACAACTAGCGGACAGGGCCTGGGGGCGGGGGGAAAGGTGGAGACATTCTTGGAGAAGACAAAACCGGAAGGTGGTGGGAGTCCATGAGCAGGAGGAGTGTGCAGTGGAGGGACTTTGAAGATGGAGGGGCCGGGAATGGAACGAACCTTCTATGAAACACCGAGATGTGTGCTAATCTGCCAGTCAAGCTACTGGTGACAATCTTTGTGTATATCCTTTCAGGGCATTACCAGGGCACACGTAGAATTCCTTGCTGCCTCCAGGGCAGCTAACTATTTCTTGGGTACCCTTTCCTCAGAAGCTAGATGAGGTTGGCCACTGCCCTACGGGGCTCCCAGTCTGTGGTGGGGGAGATTATAGGAGATAAGCACTCTGCTGGTCAAACACACCAGGCCACAGAGGGGCAGGGAGAAGCTTCCCAAAGATACTCATACCTGGACAGCATTTTGAGTTAGCCACGCAGAGAATAGGTACCACGCATGACAGGCCCTCATTTACTGTTGGTTCCTTAATTTTAGTTCATTTTGATTTGTGACGATTACCTGGAAAAATCGCTCAAGGAATGGGAGTTAGTTCTTATGGTGCAGGGGTTAAAGTCTCAGCTATCAAGCTATCTGCAGCCACTGTAGCATGAGTTCACTCCTTAGCCTGGGAGCTGACCCACATGGTGCAGCAGACCTCTCCTGTCTCACCTGCTGCTCCCCTCAGTAGTGTATTTCACTAGATCCACCAGCTCTCCACTCTGTCTTTGCTGAATTCTCACACCCCCGGACCCCTGCACCTCTGGCTATTACCCCAGTTCTTTTATGCATAAGTAAATAAGAAATAAATCTTTAGGGCCTCTCCTGGTGGTGCAGGTGGTTGAGCGCTGCACTGTGAAGCTGTCCACAGCCTCTGCAGCGCCAGTTCAATCCCGGCTGGCCAGCTAGGGTCCCACATGGTGCAGCAGAACTCTCTTGGTCACCTGCTGCTCCCCTCAGCAGTGTATTTTCTCACTCTGCCTGTTCTGTTCCCTGCTCTGTCTCTGGTGAATCCTCTCACCCTCCTGTGCATCTGGCCTGTATCCCGGTTCTTGTATAAATAAATTAAAAAAAAAGAAATTTTTAAAAAGAAAAAAGATAAAAGATAATCCGTCCTAGCCTCTAGGTATACAATCCAAAAAAAGGTATACAATCCAAAAAAATACTATCCTACCTATGGATAAGTGGGCAATACACTCATAAGTTTTCTTGATCTACTTATTTCATATCAAAAGTTTTTGAAAGCTTTCAAAAAGATGACCTTTTGCTTGCTTGACTGTGCACATTTTAGCATTAAAAATACCTGGCAGTCATTAATGTATTACTACATTACTACACCTGCAAGATTACTACACCTGCAAGATTACTACACCTGCAAGAACTTCATTTTTCACCCAATATGTAGAAGCATCCTGGTTTTCTGCAGAATCCTGGGATTTTTCTACAATGGTTAAAATGGAGACAATTTTAAATAAAAATATTGTCACGTATGCTGTGGAAATGTAAAATGAGGCAGTCCATGCTTAAAATAGTTTGGCACTTCCCCAAAATGTTTTTTTTTTTTTTTTAAAAGAGTATTACCATATACGTCAATGTCTCCACACCTAGATATAAACCCCAAACAATGGAAAACAGGTGTTCAAGCTAAATTTTGTACACAAATATTATAGCAGCACTGTTCATAATGGCCAGGGGTAGAAAGAGTGCAAATGTCGATCAGTGGGTGAGTGGACAAACAAAACGGGGTAGATTCATAAACTCCAGTATCACGCTGCCATTGAAGGAGGAAAGTCAATCGGTGCAGCTGCTGTGGGGGGCAGCACGGCAACTCCCTTAAACACTGAACACACAACTAACACGTGACACGGCCATTCCATCTCAGGAACACCCGAAAGAATTGAGGGCAGCGACTCAAACAGCTACCTTTACACCCATGTTCAAGCAGCATTATTCACAGTCTACCAGTATCTAGAAGCAACTGACTCCATGCGATAAAGAAATGTAAAAACAAAATGTGGCCTACAGGAAATGTCACATTCACTCTTAAACAAGGAAGGAAATTGTGATACGTGCCACAACTTGTAGGAAACTTAGAGGCTTTATAAGAAGTGCAATAAATTACCCAGACACAACAGGACAAATGTAGAGAAATTCCACTCAGGTGAGTATCCAGAGCATCAAATTGGAAAGAGAAGGTGGAGTGTGGTTGTCCGGGGGTGAGGGCAGAGAGGCCGGAGAGTCCGTGCTGAGTGGATTGAGTTCCAGTGGGGAAATGAAAAGGCTGTGGAGGGTGGAGATGCCCAGCTCACCTCCCCCACATATTTACACCCAAATTACACCTAAACAAAGGCTGTAGTGACCTGTGTGCCTGCAGAGAGGGCTGCGTCAAGGTGTGGCCTGTCCACACAAGGGAACACTACTCAGCCACATGGAAAGACAAAACATGACTGTTTACATGAAAAGGGAAGGGATGCGAGGGCCTCCTTTGTAGTAAAGCAAGTCAGATGATAAACACAAATGTTGGCTGATTACACAGCAGGTGAGAAAACCAGTCAAATACTAATTAAAATCTACTGGACTCTAAGAACCAAGTGAGGTTCCTGAGGTTAAGCGGGAGTGGGGAGAGAGACAGGGCCAAAGGGAAAGATGTCAGGTACTAACAGGTATCATGGAGAAAAGGTGTGGAAAATAGATTAAGGTGCCCGAGGGGTGCTGTTTCAGACACAGTGACCTAGTGGCTCTCTCTGAGGAGGGAGTTATTTGACAATGACCCGAATGAAGTGATGCAGTGGGCACTTCAAGCAGGGAGGACCTCAAGTGCAAAAGCCCTGACATTGAAAAATGGGCCTTATGTTTACCAATGTCAGTAGGAGGAGTGGGAAAAAAATAAAGAAATTCAAGCTGATACTGGCCTGTTTTTGTCATTTGTCCCAACCTACACACATGCTGATGCCGGAGGAAGTCAAGCCCCATTCAGTCCCTCCTTTCTAACGAACGCCCCGGGGAGATGCAAAGGCTGAGCGCCCCAGTTAAGCCTTCTTTACCTGCCTCCGGGGCGCGGGGGGTGTGGGGGTTCGCGCCTCACCTTCAGGGGCAGATGCCCGGGACCCGCCGCCTGGGGCCTGCTCAGGCGCGGCGTCCGGAGCCGGCTCTGCCCTCAGCCTGCGGCCCCCGGGCCGGGGAGGGGTTGGGGCGGTGTCAGCCCCAGGTAATTTGACGGTACGTTCCCCACGCTCTAGCCTGAACCCACTGTAATAAAAACAGCCAGGCCCGCGCGCCAGAACAGGGCGCCCAGAACCCCCCCAGGTGTCGTCCACTTCCCGCGAGGGCGTCGGGAGCGCAGGACCCGCTCTCAGGCAAGGGAAGCGGGACGCGCGGGTCACCCCGACCCCCCAGAGCCCCCAGGCCCTAGAAGGAACCCCAAAGGGGCCCGGGTTTTCACACCCTGCCCCTCCCGCACTGGGTGCTCCGGTGGCCCCCTGCGCAGTCAGCCTCCCACAGCGAGGTGTCTCACCTTCCCGCACCTCTGGCTCACTCCTCCTCTGGAGGCCCAAGGAGGCACACAGACCGCAGTACAGCTGACGCCTCCCAGCCGCGCCCCAAGACACCGGGTTCCCCGGGCACCGGCGGGGAAGCGGCTGCGCTGGGCGCATGCGCGGCCTGAGGCGCTGCGCAGGTGCGCTCGGCTGGTGGGCGGGGCGGGGCGGGCGGGGCGGGGCGGGGGGCGGGGCGGGGCGGGGCGGGCGGGGCACACGCGCCACTCGCTCTCAGTGGCCACGCCCATCAGGTGGTCCCCCCAGCAGCCTGACAGTTTGAAAATTCAAACTCAAACGGAGCAAATATGCCGCGTCTTCTCCAAAAATAGTGTCAGTGAAAATTCCAGGAAGCCACTAAAATGGCAAAAGGGGTCTACTTGGATTTCAAACCTCGCTCAGGATTGTTTAGCAGTGACCACAGGTGACTGATAATGATAGAATGGGTGTGAGGATTCGATCCTCCGACCTCGCTCTGAGCTTTGCTGCAGTCCTGGGTCTTTATCTCCCCCTTCCCCCGTCACTGTCGTCCTAGTTTTCTGCTCTGCCAGCATTGCCCGTCCTCGCCACCAGGCTGCGTTGCTGCCATTTCTCAAAGCTTTTTCCCTTAGGGCCCTTTCCACAATCCCCCCTCACCCCTGGCCCCTCAGTCATTCTGCTCTTCATTCACCATCCACCCTCTAAATTGCGCTGTCTCATTTATGTATGTGCTGTAATTTATTTAACCATTCCAATTATTTGTTACTATAAAGAAAGTGCTGCTGAATATTTTTACACATAAAGCTTTCATCTGTATTTCATAGCATTTCCTCAGGTCATTTTCCAAAAATAGAATCACTATATCAAGCAGTATAAATATTCTAAATTCAAAGGTCTCTCCAGAAGGATGGTACACATTTACTCTTTTCTTAGGGATGAATGAGAGTACATATTTCACTGTACCTTTGCCTACATTTCACTCTATCTTTCAAGGGTTTTGATGCAAACTTTGCACTAGAATCAAAAATACAAAAAAGTTTCATCACATGTTAGAAATATTTAACTACTTTAGGGCCTCCCTGGGAGCCTAGGGGTTAAGTCTCAGCACTGTCACTGCTAGGGCCTGAGTTGGATCCCAGGCAAGGGAGCTAACCCACATATGGCACAGCAGCCCTCTCCTGCCTCCCCGCACTGCTCCATCAGCAGTGTATTTCAGTAAATCTGCCTCTTCTGCTCCCCAGTCTGTGTCTGGTGAATCTTCTCACACAGTCCCCGGACCACCACATCTGGCCTACACCCTAGCTCTACTATGTGAAAATTTAAATTTTTTTAAGTAAATATTTAACTAGTTTAGACTCTCAAAAATAAGCAGCATTAGAGGTCTCCTGGGTGGCGCAAGGAATTAAGATGCAGCACTATGAAGCAATCAGCAGCTACTGCAGCACAGAATTCCATCCCCACCAGGGAGGTGACCAACATGGCACACCAGACCTCTCCTGTCTCATCAACTGCTCCCCTCATCAGTGTATTTCAGTCAGTCCCCTGTTCTGCTCCTCACTGTCTCTAGTGAATACTCTCACCTCCTGCACCTCTGGCCTGTACCCCAGTTCTTGTATGCATAAATAAATAAATCTTTTTAAAAAATAAGCAGCATTAGCTCATTAGTACTAATAAGTGAAAAAATTAAAACACCCCTGAATTTTAGGAGTTAAAATAGAAGAGTAAAGGAACAAAACTGTAGCAGAATAACCAGATGTTTTCCAAACACATGTTCTCTTTGCATCACACAATGGGATTACATTAACTGGCCATCTGAACGGGGAGGGAAGAGAGGCATAATAATAATAAAACTTCCCACACCTCATCATGTTTTCTCCTTCCCCACCCTTTGGCTGAATGCAGATGACTCCATGGACACAGAGGACAAAAATCATCAAATGAAGAGCCTTAATTCCTGAATGATCACACGAAGTGCTACCCAGTCAGAAAGACACTGATATGAGAGAGGGATGGATTTTATAGGTTGAAGCATCTGCAATTCCAGGTTTGATATATTATAGCAGCTGGGCTTATTAACTGTAATCATTACAAATGATTTCTTGAATAATAACTATACCCTAGACTTCTTGTTAAATGTGTTATCTTTTCTTATTCAATCTGTAACCCATTCTATGCCATTCTTATTAATACCATCTTTAAGGAAAGTGATTTGCCCAACATGTAATTTCTTCCTAAACTGAGATTACTGCTCTCCTTAGAGATAATTATCAATAATAACTGTCGTCTGAAACTTCTTGGAGTTCTTATGAACCCTAAAACTCTACTGGGCTCTAAACAACAGCTCCAGTTTCACTATTACCTATATATACTTAAATCTAAATTTATAATCAAATCACATTGATTAGTTTGTCTGCCTGATGGAGGCTAAGAGTGAAAATTTGGGAAGGAAGCATCACAAGATCAGAAACTGGAGGTGGGGGTTGAAATGATTAACATAGTCATTAAATCAGCTATGGGGACGAAAAATCCTTAGGTACCCACTACTATAGCAAGTATCAGACGGCTACAGAAAGTATCCTGAGGCACAGATCAGTGGTGGGGATATGGAGATGGAAGGCCATTGTAGAGAAGCATGGTTCCTTATACCCTAGAAGTAATTTATCCAAAACAAACAAAGAAACAGTTACCAATTCCACAAAGGAATGAATGCCTCCCAAAAAGAGGAAGATTACAGGGCCTCCCTGGTGGCGCAAGGGTTTAAGCATGGCACTATGAAGCTATCCACATTTTTTGCAGCACGAGTTTGATCCCTGGCCAGCCAGGGAGCAACCCTGGTGCAGCAGACCTCTCGTGTCTTGCTCACTGCTTCCCCTCAGCAGTGTATTTCAGTCTGCCTCTTCTGTTCCCTGCTCTGTCTCTGGTGAATCCTCTCACCCCCCTATATCTCTAGCCTGTGCCCCAGCTCTTGTATGCATAAATAAATAAATCTTTAAAAAAAATAGAAGATTATATCAATGCAATTTCTGCCCTGGCAAAATGCAGGTCTTTGGCTTACGTGTGACTATGCAGGTGTTTTTCTTTACCAACCTTTTCCCTTTGAAAGCAGCAGAGGTAACTCTCCTCCCAAGCCTGCCTGCTTGTGTCTATGTAGGCCTCTCTTTTAAAAAACCTGTCCCTTTTGGGGGCAGCTCTTTTTGCCCGCTTGTGTCTGGTTGAGTGTCCTATCCTTTCTTTTCCCTTACCTTTCTTTCTTTTTATAATAAACCTGCTCTTTTGAATGTAACTAAACGTCTCTGCCTCCTGGGGAAACTCACCATCTGCCACTAAAAGGAGAGCTCTGATGAAACTTTTCTCAGAGGCAGCCCAAGGACACTGCTCTCTGAACCCAACACCTCTCCAAACTGACATCATGACCATTTGGAAGTGAGTTGCAGACATCATTTTGTCATTCTTAACATAGTCTAACTTTCCAAATTCTGTTTACATGGTCAAGAGAGCACCAAAGGCAAATTTCCAGTGTCTGTTGTGCCCCAGGTCAGCAGACTCGGTGAGCATAGCCTCCAAGAATCCAAAGACAGCTGATGCAAACACAAAAGGGAGTTTATTACAGACTCGAGTCTGGGCTCAAGGCACCTACCAACACAGTGGCAGGTATCGAGAGCCCTGAACAAAGGAAGCAGGGGTTTATTTTTAGGGTTAACTCATGCTGGCAGTTACTCATTGACTACAAGGATGCATTCTCCAATGTTGCCCAGCTATAATTCTAAGCTGACTGGCCTGGTCAAGATGGAGCTCCAGCCTGCAGCTCCAGTTACAGCAAGTTTGCCCTCATTGGTGACTGGAGGGCGAGGTGGAGTGAGGGTCCAAACTGTCGAAACTATCTCTGGAATGCAGTTGTCATTCCCAGGACAGCAAAACCTAAAATTCTAAAATGGCAGTTACACACAAAATGACAAAGCAATGGCTAAGAATACTTATGCTTGGTTCCACAGTGTCTTCAGCCTAAGACTGTGTATGGCTTAGAAGGAGCCCTTCCATATAAGTACAGTCAGATAAGTAAGGAAGAATACTAAGAAATAGTTTTATGAGGTCAAGGGCAAGGATACCTGTACTTAATTGATAGGAAAACATTTACACTAGAATACTATAAAGCTAACTAAATTTCACCAAACCAGTTCAAAAACAACTAAACTGTCCTGTTGACTCCTGGATATTTCTGAAAAGCCTTGAAGTAGGATGACCAATGTATTCTGGCCCAGGTCTTTTCTGGATTTAATATTAAAAGTCCCAGGAGAGCCTTTTGACCCTCAGGCAAAAGTGGATGATTAGTAACCTTATTTATTTATGTATTTTATTTTAATTTTTTTGATAGTTTTTTTTTTTTTAAGATTTATTTATTTATTTATTTATTTATTTATTTATTTATTTATTTATACAAGCACTGGGTACAGTCAGAAGCGCAGGAGTGTGAGAGAATTCACCAGAGCCAGAGCAGGGAGCAGAGCAGGCAGAAGGACCAAAGTACACTGCTGAGAGCAGCAGCGGGCGGCAGGAGAGGTCTGCCGCGCCATGTGGGATTCTCGCTGGCCAGAGGGGATCGAACCCATGCTGCAGAAGCTGTGGACAGCTTCACAGTGTGGCGCTCAACCGCCCATGCCACCAGGGAGGCCCAGTAACCTTATTTAAAAATTACTCTCTGACTTAACCATCCAAATAAAAATAGTTGACAGTTGGTTCTTCATTTACTTAGCATACCTTTGTGGAACCAGAGTTAGGTGTGAGTCTGAGGCTAGGGCAGGCCACATCCCTTTGACTAGGACTTTACATTATCATCTCTAGTTGCCACTGGAAGTTAAAGACAAATTTCTGTGCTTTAGAATTGAAATTTTCTCTGCTATAATGGAAAGACAGACCAGCATTAGAATATCTCAACTGCTGCCAGTTATGGTAATTTATTGAAACTTAACTTCATTATCTAAATTGGAAATAATATTAAATTACATGCATTCTTCAGCTTGAAAACATTATTAAGTGCCTCAACCTCTGTGACATAAGTAGCAAAACATTAATATGTATCTTACATGTAACCGGACCATTTTAAAAATTTGCCTTCAGACCAGTTTTAGCATTTTGCTCAATCTACACATAAACCTGGAAATATTTCAAAATGATGATTGCATGAATTTTTAAGTATCCTGTTATTTTCTGGTAAGACTTTCTCAGAGTAAGTAAATTGCTTGGCCAACTAGCCACAGCTGATGAGGGCCCATCCATTTTACTGTCCCATAAAGTTAGAGATTGTGTGTGTGTGTGTGTGTGTGTGTGTGTGTGTGTATAAAGCTGATATGGGGGGGCTATGCATTTGTACTTAACCTGATAGAAGATGACCCCAAATATGGTATTGTTGCTCTAGAGAAAGTTAATCCACTTTATATCTAACTTGACATACTTATTTTCTGCATTCATTTCCCCACTGACTTTATACCCATTTCTTAAATGTGCTTGTCAGCTGTTTTAATTTCCTTTTTTCTTGTCATTAAATAGTTAAGTAAAACTTAGCCTTATGAGAACTAACTTTTTTTTTTTTGAACAAACTTTTTTATTTATTTTTATGCAACAACTGGGGTACTGGGCAGAGGCGTGGGATGGTGAGAGAATTCACCAGAGACAGAGAGGGGAACATAACAGGCAGACAGACTGAAATACACTGCTGAGGGGAGCAGCAGGCGAGGCAGGAGAGGTCTGCCCCTGCCATGTGGGAATCTCCCTGGCCAGCCAGGAATTGAACCGGCGCTGCAGAGGCTGCAGACAGCTTCACAGCATGGTGTTCAACCCGCTATGCCACTGGGAAGGCCCAAGAACTAACCATTTAACAATCTTAACTGAACCAAAGAAAATCAACAGCCCAAACCTGACTCCAAATCTGAAGAACCATGTACATTTTTACAGAATATTCCCAGAGAAAGAGCAGAGGGGATTATCACATCAAACTGTGCCTTGTAGATTTCTGTCTCCCCAGAGTCCCAGGCCCTTATTAGCTGCCTAAATTTTCTCTTGGTCTCTTTCCCAACTCACAGTCTCTGCCAGTCACCAGGCTCTGTTTTCTCTCTCCCTTTATATGGCAGACACACACCCATGGTGATCCCCAGTGAATTATAGCTAAGCACAATCTCCTCCATGGAGATTTGCTCCTGACCAACATAAATGGGGAAAGTTTACTGCCAAGGTTGCATTTGGATATCTAAGATTGGAGATTGAGCAGATTGGAGAGAGAAACTCTCCTAAGGGCCTCAGAAAAGCAACCTACAATCTTTTAAATGGTTTATGGAGAGGGCAACTCTTCAGGAAACCAGGAGTTCTCAAGCAGCTGAAGCCTTGGTACTACAACCACCAGGAACTAAATTCTGCCAATACCCATGTGAGCTTGAAAGAGGACTCCAGGGTCCAGGAAGGAAGGAGCATAACTTGGGTAATCTCTTGAATCAGTCTTGTGAGACCCCAAGCCAGCTAAGCCATCCTACACACTTGATCTACTAGAATAGTGAGCTGATAAATGTTGTTTAGTTTGGGTTAATATGTTACACAGAAAAAACTGTTGCCTTCTTGATTTTTGATTAGATCCTCATAAATAATAAAGCATCTTCTTAGACCCACACTCCTGAGAAATCAGAGAATGTGTGTTTGTGTATGTGCAAGCACACATATTCATTGTAAACAGACCGTAAGTCTCACTTAGCTATGTTACTATATTAATTCTCTCTTGGTAAAATCTATTGACTAATTACTATTCAGATGCTAGTAGGTTGCTCTCCAAAATGTGAGTGTATTTCTATTTCGACAGGCAAAAGGTAGAAGAGTCAAGTCAATGTTGTTTGTTCCCAAATCTGATTATATCAGTTGTAAATGTTTTTGTAAATGACATAGTTAAATATTACACAAACTGAAAGCAAGGAAATGGAGTTTTTTTTCTATGAGAACTATCGAAGATTTTATAAAGAAATTGCTGTCATATTAAGTAGCAGAGGTGAAAAGACTAGAAATCTA